CCAGCTCAACAAATACTACACCGAGCGCTGCCAGGCGCGCAAGGCGGCCATCGCCAAGACCATCCGAGAGGTCTGTAAGGTGGTCTCGGACGTGCTCAAGGAGGTGGAGGTGCAGGAGCCTCGCTTCATCAGCTCCCTGAGCGAGATCGATGCCCGCTACGAGGGTCTGGAGGTCATCTCGCCCACGGAATTCGAGGTGGTGCTCTACCTAAACCAGATGGGCGTCTTCAACTTCGTGGACGACGGCTCGCTGCCCGGCTGCGCGGTGCTCAAACTGAGCGATGGGCGGAAGCGGAGCATGTCTCTCTGGGTCGAGTTCATCACGGCGTCCGGCTACCTCTCGGCACGCAAGATCCGCTCCCGTTTCCAGACGCTGGTGGCTCAGGCGGTGGACAAGTGCAGCTACCGTGATGTGGTCAAGATGATCGCGGACACCAGCGAGGTCAAGTTGCGCATCAGGGAGCGCTACGTGGTGCAAATCACTCCTGCGTTCAAGTGCACCGGTATCTGGCCCCGCAGCGCGGCGCAGTGGCCGATGCCCCACATCCCCTGGCCTGGCCCCAATCGGGTGGCGGAGGTCAAGGCCGAAGGGTTCAACTTGCTCTCGAAGGAGTGCTACTCGCTGACCGGCAAGCAGAGCTCCGCCGAGAGCGACGCCTGGGTGCTCCAGTTCGGGGAGGCTGAAAACCGTCTGCTGATGGGCGGCTGCCGAAACAAGTGTCTCTCGGTGCTGAAGACGCTGCGGGACCGCCACCTGGAGCTGCCCGGGCAGCCGCTCAATAACTACCACATGAAGACGCTGCTGCTATACGAGTGTGAGAAGCACCCTCGGGAAACGGACTGGGACGAGGCGTGCCTGGGGGACCGGCTCAACGGCATCCTGCTGCAGCTCATCTCCTGCCTGCAGTGCCGCCGCTGCCCCCACTACTTTCTGCCCAACCTCGACCTCTTCCAGGGCAAGCCCCACTCGGCCCTGGAGAGCGCTGCCAAGCAGACCTGGAGGCTGGCCAGGGAAATTCTCACCAATCCCAAAAGCCTGGACAAGCTATAGGGTGCTGGGGACTGCTTGAAAAGCGACACGGACGGGAATGCTCTCGAACACACGACAGACACACAACTCGGCGACAAACTGCTAGAACTCCAGACATAAACTTTTCTGTCAGCCACCTAAGAGGAACGGAACCCGGCAGAAGATTTCCTTAATTCACAAGCAAACAAAAAGGAGAGCAAACCCACCACCCAACCAAAATCACATTCTTGCACACAAGCGATCGTTTTCTTCCAAACAATGTGAATTTTAAAGGTCACACAAAAGAAGCAATCGGACTTTGCCACCAACAAAATGAAACCCAAGGTACATTTTCAAATCAAAATATAGTCGTTTCTCCCTTTTCCTTCTCTCCCCTTCTTCTCTCTCTCCCTCTCCCACCCTCCCCACTTTGTTCTGGGTTGCCTGAATGTTGTCACCAAGTGAAAAAAAAAAGTATTTAATTATATGTAAAATTCCTCTTTTAAACAAAGTTTTGCTGATGTTAACTGTATCTCAGTGCCAATGTCAAATGTGCCCCTCCTTCTCCCACACCTTTTCCCTCACCCTAAGCAGTCTTGTTGAAAACAGTAATAAAAATATGACTTTACATTGCAATTGACTGATTGTGGATTGTTCTTAAATGAAGGCAGGTGAGAGCACAGTTTGTAATTTATAATATAAAGATGTGAACTTAAGGAACTAAATCCAAGAAGCTTCCATTTTAACTCCAGTCTGCAAAATTTACAAATGTAGAACATTTTGTAGATTTAACCATTCAAGTTTCCACCAAGATATTTAGAAAAAGGAAAATATTAATTTTACACAACTATATATTTGTTCTGTAGATTTTCAGATTAAAACTAGTATCTTAGTTCACACTTGAAAAAAGAACAGATTTTGTATGGAAGAACTAATTCTGATCCTAATTTTAAAAGAAAAAGTTTTTTCACATTAAAAATTAAGAGACTTGCTCTCTCTTATGCTATAATTTAAAAAAATCCCAAGCCTGAATTACAAAAGAAACATTTATGGATCTTTTCTGAATAGTTAACACAATGAGTTAATACTTAGCTTCCAATCATTTGTTTTCTTTACGTTTTAAATAATACAAACTTAACAATTAAATCAGCAACAGTAAAAGAGAATAAAATGGATACAGTAATTTTCCTTTCCCCCAGCAAATGGTGAAATGAACAATCCAGATTTATAAATTACTTCAGGTTTTTAAATGCCTTAGTGATAAATGCTGTAACTATGATCATCTTTTTGAAATCCAAATCCCAGAATTATTCAGAAGTAGCTTATAGGCAATTTAAATTTTAAAAAGTGTTTCATACTGTTTTTATGACCAAAGAAAAATTACATATAAGTAGGCTCCTCCTCTTTCTGCCTTTCTAATGTATTCATTTCAATGTTTCAACTTTAACAAAGGTTTCTTTCTAATTCAAGGAAATAACTGATTACAAAATTAAATAATTAGTAAAACTGAAAGCATCCCCAAGGTTCTTCTTTATGCTGAAGGTTACTGTATACTCCATCAGACATGCTAATACAAGGCACAGGTACTGAATACATGTCAGATTTTGCTCTTTAATTTTATTCTTTGAATTAGCCCATTTTTTAACTTACTGAGAAAATCCATGAATGAGAGATACAAAGAAGAATGTTCTACAAAGCAATTTTAAAGATCAGAGAAGTCAGAGTGGGGGTCGCAGGGTATGGAGGGATGAGCAGCAGGATAGCAGAGATGGATGAAAACAAGGAAGCTACTCAGAGCTCTAGTGCCTAGTTCACTTGGTAAAGCAGGCTTCAGCTTTTAAGATTCCCAGGTAAAAACTCCACAGCAAAAAACAGTTCTGAGCTAGAAATATAAACTTTGATTTTAGCAGTTCTGAAATCATCTCCACTCTTTCCACCTATACCAGACCATTCTCAGGTCTCTCTTCCTGCAGACATAGAACAAACACTGTAACAATAACTGGGTCAGGCATATATATCAGTTTTTAAAATAATACAAATGAATTTATTCTCTAGGGAAAATGTTCTGATTTTTAAGAACAATTTCAAAGCAAGCAGAAGGTACTTACATTTACAAAGAAATGACGTAAGGGCAAGTGTTTAGTTGAAAAGATAAAAATGACATTTTAAAATGACCATTTTTTCACTCACGAAAGTATATAAAGCATTAGACATGTCTTCTCCCAAATGTCCCAGGAAAAAAGTTTTAAGAAACAAAAATTCCCCCAAATTCAGTATCTTTTTTCCATTCTTATTTAATATAATGCAGGTATCACCAACAAGAAAAGAAAAAACTCCAGTGCCTCAATTAAAAAAGCACCAACATCTATACAAAATCAAAAATTCTTCAAATAATGGGCTGAAACATTTTACTAATATAAAGTAGCTACAGTTTTGATTTCTGTACATTTGGCAGGATGCAGCAGTACAAGGTCTGTGATTAGGCTCAAAGATCCTATATTACACAAGCAGCAGGGGAAAAAATAATTTAATGATGCTGCACAGAAAAAGATCAGACAGAAACAGAAGTTATAACTTCCCCCAAAAGGAGTCAATAACTTCAAAGAGCCTAATCATAAAGATTGGCAGAGCTTTTAACAATAAGGACAACTCATTAGATACTTTTAAAATAAATCACATTTTAGACTTTACGCCATGTTTGTCCCAAAACCTAATAGAATATTTTGAATTAAATTTTGGCCTTTCACACACAAATTACTATAAATTAGAGAGGTTGAGTAATTTTGGTTATTTTCCTTAGGTAAAGAAACTACAACAGGTTTTCAGACATTCCAGCCATATAACAAAGTAGAAATTTTTCCTAGCTGATATAATTTCAGAATTCAAGTTTTCTCTACATTGGATTAGCTGCATCCTCAGACTCAAAACAATCAGTTTCAGCACAGACTTCCTTTCATACAGTCTACCAAGTCCCACCTTAATAAAAGCAGCAATGCTGAATACCCAAGGGCTATAAACATGCGTAAGACAAGAGATGATTTGTAAAGTTTTAAAAAATTATAACATTTTCATTAAGAATGACTTTGAAACTCTTCTAAGTCACTAAATTTTAATAATTCAGATGTTTACAAATTCAAAGAATTTCCTACCAATAAACTCAAGAAAAAAATACACATGTATGTGTGTGGACATACACCACACATGACACATGCACACTAACAGCCTGGAAAAGAAATGATTCCATTTTTTAAAAACCTCTTCTCTTTCCACAGGTTACTTACTTTGCTCATTTTAAAAGAGACTTAGAACAAATTCTACCATTCAGTTTCATGAAATAAACCTAATATTGGCTTTACGGCTGTGCTACAAATGTCTCTTAGTAAAATAAAGTTGCCAAGGTCTGAAAAGTAATCAGAAATACATTTTAAAGGGGAAATTACATTTTCATTTAAGAATAGGAAATTATGCAGTGCCTTGTAAAATCAACTACAGGTAATGGGAAACAGAGGTATCTCGCACACACAAGCCATGCTTGCGTGCACGACAGAGTAGTAAGTCATGTGGACAAAGCAAGCAGAGTGATATATTGGTATTATATCCAGAAAATATAAAGGCTAAACAAAATAATTTCACTCTCAATCTCACTGAATTGTGTAGCTTAATTCACCCTGGACCCTTTGAGGCAAAATATATTTTATAGACAATATTCCCTGAGGTTCTTCCCCCACCCCAGAATGAGCTAATGATAAATGCAATTAAATGGAAATTGTTTCTGAATCTAAATGAACTTCAATAATGTAACTAGCTGGTAAGGGAATCATAAGCTAAAAGAGATAGTTGCCTTGCATACAGGCAGGAGCAATTCATCAAGAAATTCAAACAATCTCTCTCAGATTTTACTAATGCCAGTCTTACTCAACAGCAGTCCACCGTCCCATCATAAGAAAAACAAAAATTCCATAAAAATGAAACGCACTCCTCATCTTCTCACCTTGGGGTCGATTTTCTTGAAGTTAGGGTCTTCTTCATCCACCTCAAAATAGAGTTCGGAGGAGGTGACAGAAAGAGTGCCCTTCACCACAGCAGAGGGGGCCACAAGCTGAGCCGGTGTGCTCAGGCTAACAGGACCTGCCAAGAGGAAAAGACGAGCCGGACAAGTTGCAGTGACATTTTTTCAAAAAATCAAGTGGATTTAGGCAGAAATTTCATAATTTTTAAGTTCTCTCCTCTAGCAAACTGCCAGCCAACCCCTTTTACACTTACAAATTCTGCCCACCCCAAATCTCCCTCTGAAAATGCAAAGTTAGGGTTCTTATATTAAGAAATCTATATATAAAAGGAGGTTAATCATAACAGTAAACTACAATGCAATTATTTTACAAGGAGTCTGCAAAGCTTGGGTCTAATCTCCTGGTTAGAAGGTGACTCTGCCTAAATAAGTCTATCCACATTCCATTTAGAAAACAAGCCTCAGGCTTTCAAACAACATGGAACAACAACTAGGAGCAAGGAAGACTCAATAGGTTTCAAAGGCCAGAGGTTAGCTTAGTGTTTGGCTGAGGCATGATTATAAAAAGATCACCAGCTTATTAGTGAAGTGAGAAACGTTAAACCATATTATCTGATAAAGACTTTGTGCCAGGCTGACACAAAACCTTTTCCATAACAACTTTACCCCATAAAAAACTGAGAAAAATACTTCTTTTCTGAGCCTGCCCTTCCATTGTTAAATATTGTTCAATGTGTCCAAATCTAATATTAGTGTAGTTCGGGGACTCTGGGAGTAAACAGCTGGAGGGTGGATTTCCAAGTGAATGAATTTTTATTGGAATAATCAAATCTCCACAGGGCTTATCAAAGAGACAAATCAGCCTGCTACTGAAAACAATGGATTCATTACAGATAGAAGAGCATAAAGTATATTAGAGCCAAACCTAAAATAAGGATTAAAAATAACGATTATACATATATATACTTATGTAATGATAGATGTAGTAAGGTTTTGAAATTCCATGTAAATTCCTCACTGGAAAAATCCTATAGGTGAAGAAAAAAAGCAAGACAAGACTGGCATTTATAGTCTTGAATTAATATAGTGCCTACAAACAAGGTACACCTATTCAGGTAATCAATGGGTGAATAAGTGTTTCAAAATTCAGATGAATTGACATTTCTATCGATTGTTGGAAGGGTGTTGGTCCTTAATCTCACATCAATCTTAATGTGTGCCAGCAGGACAATAGGAGGGATGCTCTGCGGAGATCAGAGCAGGCTTTGCCCTCTATTCCCAATGTACAAATACATTGTGTTTGCAGATGGGCAGCAGATAACTGCAGAACAGCCATGATTTCCCAAAGCTCATCCCCATAAATGGATGAAATAAGCAGCTATGTGTTCTTTTGCTGTCTCCTTTGCCCTCCGTACATTAGCATGTAATCCTGAGAAGAAATAACATTTTTTCAATCATTCTCAGACATTCAATTACAGGGTAAGCAGACAGCTGCAGGAGCTGGGGCAGCCTAGGTCCTACAGAAGACCCCTGACAATTTCCACTTCATTTCTAACCCACACCACTTTATTAGTGTGGATTACTTCTTAATCCTATTGCCATTGTCAAGATTATATAATTAAACTCCCCTTTCACCTCTATTACTGTATGAATGTATTACTAGTGGCAAGAACAGAGGCAAAATAGAGGAGGAGGAAATGGGTAAGTGGATGCAAGGGAAGAGCCTAGAGAAGAGCAGGGCACACCTTCCTCTCTACTCCTGCCCCAAATCCCTTCACAGTGTGCTCCAATTAATTTTATTTCACTTTACAAAGAGATTTACGGCCATCAGAGAAGATACCATCATCTGTTTTTGCTTTTCATTATCATTCATTGCATGGTTGCAGATATGTCACTAAATGAAAGATTTTTTCATGCCTTTTAATTTAAAATCATCAAAATAGAAGGGTATATAACTTTCATCTATGGAAGTTGTACAATCTTTCAGACTTTCCTCCTTGAGGGACAGAGTCATGGGCATTAAAGGAAAAAAGCCATTTAATGAATGACTAAAATTTCAAGCTAAACAAGAGAATTTTTCCCTTAAGGGAAGTAAAACTGAAAATCTGCAGAGTGCAAATCAAAAATTCCTACATCAGGTAAAATATGTGAATCCTGTGAAAAGCCATAGCATTCTTGAAATGGATTTTTTTTTTGAGAGAGTTAAATGTATATGCAGCATGTTTCTTAAGACCTGTATATCAAAGCAAATAGCTCATCTGCCTCCAAGCTTTATTTACAAAGCAATTGCCATAATTTTACTTATAGCTTTCATTCTGTAGAGATTAGGTAACTCCCATTAGATGGGTGATGCAATTTTGTTGTTGCTGCTTTACACTTTTATTCTTTCTCAGTAAAGATTATTCATCAAAGTAAAAGATGAGTAGGTAGAGAGAATGAACAGAACAGTGTGACGGGGATACAGCATTGAAGATGCGGGGGGGAAATGTTTAGAAGAACAAAAGCAGTCTTCATTTAACATAATTGTGGGTGCAAAGCTGGTAGTCCTAGCAGTCACAGCTGGAAAAGTATGTAATTAAATGCTTCTTGGACCAGAGCTAGCCCAAGTATGTGCACAACCACTGAATTTACCGGTGAGATTCTCTAAATCCTTTTCATCCATGGATGACAGAGTATCATCGTCGCCTTCCAGGAGGGTCTCGTTTTCCGAGTTCTGATTTCCTAAAGCCTGACTCTTGATGGACTGTTTTCCTTTAGCAAGAATATCTTCATCTGCAGCTGAAATGAAAAGGAAACAAAACTGTCCATCAACTCTGGGAAGAGTCCTGTGGCAGAGGGGCAGGGAACTGAGGTAAGGAGAGGTGGCCAAGATGGTCACTCATTTTACCCAGCATCATCCGGGGTGGGGAAAGTGATGGGGATGGCCCACACGCCCCTTCTGACAACCATGATTCCCCAAACCTAGTCTAACGTTACCTTGAACAAGCACCCTAATCCCATTAAATCTGACCCTGGCACTGCTCACTGAACCATTTGTTTACTTATATTTAAGGCAGAAGAAGGTTCAATAACAGTACTTTTTTTTTTAGTAGAAAAAAAATCAGAACCTAGTTTTGAAAACAATACCCGCTTAACACTGAAAAATAAGGAAGACGGATTTATTCCTGTGAATAATATTATACCCACAAACATTATGCAATGGTGGGGGAGTGGCTGTGAAGGAGAATCCAGAAATCAGAAGGGTTTAGGGCCGGGAGCTATTCTCAGCCAATGAGGATCCTGGCCAGCTTCTGAGGCCATGGCTGATGCTAATAAAGCCACGGCAGCTCCCAGAGGCTGCAGGCTCTCCCTCTCCCTCCATCCGCCCTCTTTCCTTCACACTGACCTTCCATACACTTCACCCCTGCCACAGCCCTGCCGCAGCCCTTACACAAACATCCAAGAGCAAGGCAGTGCAGAAACTACGTGGAAGCTCAAACACTACCTCCTCCATGTGTTTAAACTAAAGGGCTAAGACACCCCGGGGGCAAACATAACAGAAAGCCCGGGATGAGAGGCATCTGGGCAAGGAGTCTCACACCGCCCGGGCTGGAGCAGCCTGCGCAGAGCGGCGGCGCCGGGATCGCCAGAATCACAGTGCGGAGGCAGCCTCAGGGGGGAAGGAAGGAAAGGGCCCAGCACCGATGAGGGAAGGAAGGAAGGAGAGGCAGAGCATCCACAGCCCTGGGCGGACCCAGCGAGAGCAGCGGGAGGCCGGCTGCCAGGAGTCCGCGCAGAAGCTCAGACCCTGGAGCCCTCCAAGGTGACTCCCCTCAGTCTGAGCAGCCTTCTCCTTAAGAAACACACAAAAGCAGATGCTAACGTCTGGACTGGGATTTTTTTAAAGCTCATAGTGTCACATAAGGGCAAGTTCAGACTCCTCACTATGTGACTGGGAGACCTGAGAGGAAAAAGCACCTGCTCCTCCAGGCAGCAGCTACTGGCAGCAATCAGATGGAGAGGCTTTCTGCTCCACCGCAGTGTCTGATGAGGCACAAGGCCCCAAACCCAGATACAGGACGAGGCACTCAGTCTGAAGAAATACTTATCTACAGAATTTATTCCAGATAGTTAAACTGCATGTGTCCTAACTGGTTAACGTGACAAAGCAAGGCTTCTTTGAGTTTAATAGGTACGGTTGTGGATAATGTTAAAGGTAAAAGTTTATTTTTATCATATTTATCGTGAGTTCACCATGTATAACATTTACATATAATATTTATGACACTATTTAAATGAACACAGGAGCTTTCTATTAAATAAGAAAGTCATGGGAAGAAGCTTTCTCTATTTAGTATTGATTATCCTTTATGGATAAATAAAATCTTATTTTCTCCCACACCCACATATAGCATAGAACGGTATACATATATGAAAGTCTCAATAAGTATTTGAAAAGAACTTAAAGTATATAATTAAAATGGCTCTATTTTCTTAAATACTATCAAGAAACATACCCAAAAACCACTATTTTTTTTTGGAAAATAGCAGTATAAGTTTTTACATCATTGTTTATATTTGCAGCATTTACATTTCCTTACCTTGAAATCACAAACATTGCTAACAACACCTTTTCCAACTTACTGACAATTTTACTAAAAATAAATTAGTCACAGAGAAACACAAGAAAAATCATCATCTGTATTTTGTTATGAAGTAAATTATAATAAATTAACAGTAGCCAGTCAGAGTTTTAGCACAAATTCAGTATTCTACATTCTCACTTCCTGGATGCATAATTCCTTCAAAACAGAAATAATAATGCTAAAATTAAATACACTTATCATGTGCCGAAGAGTATTCAAAAGCACTTTAGACATTTAACTCATTTAATTCTCATACGCCTTCTGCTAAATTCTCCTTTTCATACGAGCAAACACACTCAGAGAGGTTTTATAACCTCCTCAAGGCAACACAGTTAATGAGAAGTAGTCAGGAATCAAATCTAGTCACTGTGGCACCAGAATCTGGGCTTCTAACCACTATGCCAGAGAAAATGAAAATAATCAATATACAAATAGGAATGTATACATAATTTACTGGTTGGTTCACTAAATCTAATGTTTCCCATAATGCATTTTAAAAGATTAAGTCACAATCATAAGAATAAGTATAGAATAAAAAGACATATTCATTTCCAAACCTAAATTTGATGAACATAGGCCGAACAAATCCGAGACAACTAAATTCAAGACCTCACTCACTACTCTCTCTGATTACTGCCATACATGGTTGCCATACCAACCTTATTTGAAAGAAGGAAAAAAAAAACTAATCTGAAAACATTTACAAAAAATGAAATGACTGTAAGAGTCATCAGTGGCAATATGCAATGGTTTAAAATAGCTCAGTAAATTACATTCATTTAAATGACTACTAACTACAACCTTTTATCCCTTCCAACTGAAATTTTAAAATTTTAAATATGTTTCTCATCATGCTGACAACAAATAAGACACAATAATTTCTGAATTAAATAAAATTTTATGGAAAAAATTTAAAACACTATAGCTCTACCATACACATACAAACACCACTTTAATTTATTTATTTACTTATTTTTACAAGCTCAGATTCTGGGATTGTTCAACCTCAACTGAAAAAGCTCTTGTCATGGAAAATATGCAGCTTACTGATATTTAGAATGGTTTTCCTGTAATTAACTCCCCCTTGAGGATTTTAAGTTAGCAGCAGTAAAATTACCAACAGTACTCTAATACACACCACATGCGCTGGTGTTCAATTCTCAGTGGTCTAATAGCTTTCTACTAAAGAACTTCTTTCCCCCCTCAAAATTAGAACAAAACTGTCCCAAGCATAAAATAAAAGATAATTATCATGTTTATATGTGCTGGGAAAAGTATGTTTTTAACTTTCATTTGTCTTATACTCAATCAACCATTAAAACAAGAATCAATTATTTTAATATCTTCCGTGAGTATATCCTACACTTGTATAAAAGTTTAATTGGATGAAGTCAAAATATACTTTTGGTTCAATTTTAAAGCTTGATTCAGATCTTTTCTAGTTAATAAAATTACTAACAAACATGACAACTGTTTAAATTTTTCATTTCACTATCAACAAACTGCCTTCACTAATCTCACTTCTTATTCTGATTTAATATTTATCCTAACTTGATAACTAAGTTGCAACTGATACATAAAACTGCAGAAATCTGTAAAAAATGTTTTATTTGAAACATGTGATTCACTGGGGCTACGAGCAATGAGCAGGCTCAGAGAAAAGCTGGTCCTCAAAATGTAAAGTTCAAGTTCTTCAGAGCTAGCTGAGTTGATTTATCTAGGTAACACAGACGAGCCAAGTAAAATTAAAATGGGGAAAGAATACAGAAAACTGTTCTACTCATGATATACAAATCTCTTTTTAAAAGTCCAGTGACTGTTCCAGTGAACTGGAATTATCAATAGTCCTAGTATGGTACGGTAAAAGAGGTTTATACATTAAGAATTAGCCACTTTGTTAATTAAAAAAGAAAGATAATGACTGGTATAACAAAGTGACCTTAATTGTACATAAAATAAATGAGTGTAGACTTAGTGTAATGTGTAGTGGATACCATAACTGTTGATTCTGAACAGGGCACATAAAGAATGTTTTATATTCAACTACTGTCCTAAACTAATTCTCCTTTATAGTTTATGCAATTTCCAAAGTCAATAAAACTTATTCTAGAAAAGTTACTTAAACTACAATGTGTAATTAGGAGAAAAAGCCAAGTCCAACATGGATTTCTCAAAAGCTTCAGACAGAGAATCTAGTGTATGTTTATCCTAAAAAAGAAGCAATAATATCTGGCATTATTTGAAGATATGAGAGAATGATATGATTTATGGTCTTTACATAGTCTGTCATCCCTAGAAAATCAGATCAATTGCTTGTATCAGTAAATGTGATTACAAGACACTTGTAAAACTATGTAAAATATTCCTCATATACTTCTATTAGTATGCAAATTCTCTACAAAATAAACATGTCTTAAATGCAATAGGATTCTAGTGCTAAACTGTTTTAGTATTTGAATTAAAACCAATCTTTCCACCATTTAAAATATTTTTTTAATTCAAAACATGCCTTTAAATATAAAATTCCCATTATATTTAACAGTGAATTTTAGAAGACAGTACAGCAGAGTGGTAAGAAAATCTGATGAGCCATCAGTTAACCTGGGATTTAGCTCTGTATCTACTAAGAAGGATGTTGGATTTTTGTTTCCTCAGTTTCCTTATCTGTAAAGAATAAAGTCAGACTAGACTTTAGCCTTAAGTTCTTTTCAGATCTAAAATGCTCTGATGATAAATAACTGACAAACTGGTCTCTGCATTAGGAGAATGTTACAAACCATTACAACTGATTTCTGATAAATTTTAAAACTACAAAATTGGAGAAAATGCCCTCAAAAAATCAAACACCCACCTCTGCTTCCTGCTGCTAGTTTTTATAAAGAATATTTAATCATAAGAGGAAGTATTAATTTTAATTTTAAAATATGACTCAGTTTCTACAAAGTTAAAGAAATCTCCCATTACAAAATGACTTTTATAAATAACCACTTTGGAGGGTCTCTCTGTGAAAAATTACCTAAAGCCCTTTTCCCCAAGCAAGTTAATGTGAACTTGGGAAGGGCAATTAAATTGTCAGAATTAAAAAATTTGTTTTTAACTAGAAGGTAGCCAGAAGTAGAGTCATGGGGCTGGTATTGATCGCCTGAACAGAGAACATCACTCTTCAGGTATTTACTCTGCCACCCTTACACCAGAGGCTTTCCTTCAAATCAAATCAATCTATAAAAAAAAGATGGCTCCTACTACTAAACTACATAGCTAATCGCCAACAGTATTTCTATTTAGATATCTTCCTTTAATAATAGTACTATAGCTTGTGATGTTTTAAGATTCTGCATTTTCAAAATGTCCTGTCTCCTTAGTTAAATTACAAATAAAAGTGAGAAGTCATAAAAGAGCATTCAAGTGACATACTATCCTCAGGAAAATCTATTTAATTCTTTGAATTCAACACTGAAGCACAGTGTTCATCCACAATAAATTCTATGATTTCAACTGCATTTTGATCACATTAACTATGTTGTTTTGCATACTTGATTCTTAATATATCAATATTTATTTTTATTAGCTTCCTTACTGTAATTAAGTTAGGATTTAAAAAACAGAGAGCTTTATAATTAATACAAAACTAAAATTGAATGTGAACTAAAAGATACTCTAATTAATAAAACATCAAAAAATTAAGCTCTCTGCTTACCTAATACAGTAGTATAAATCACACAGACATCAAACAATACTATACTACAATCTATGTGCTGAGTTCCCAAACTGACTAATTGTTATTATTTAAAATTTTAAAATATGCAATATTTGATTAACTAGAGCTTTTACCTTTTTTTAAAAAAGTTATATAAAATATAACATCTTCTTAATTGGAAGCATCTACTACATAATACACATTTTGTTAGTTTTTAAAAATATATTTCAGATTTAAATATATAGTATGAAATATTACCAAACGGAATGGCATTACATAAAATGCTAAACTTTACTTCTCTCTTAATTTAAAAATGCATAATAAAACACAGATAACATTAATGTTATGTTAACCTTTCAATTACTATTTAGACTAATTGGAGTGAAATCTACTTCTAAATAGGATTCTAAGTCTTAAATGACAGTAAGCATTGCTAACAAATATCTTTTAAAAAACATCAGACTCAGCATTAAAAAAGGTGACATGTTATTTGAAAAGTTAAAATTCAACAACAAAATTAAAATTTACTCATTATAAAAAATCCTATGATTCCCCAAAGTGGTTCAATGTACTATTTTTGATCAATTGATTTTAATAAGCTCTGTACAACAAATTTTAAATTCAGTTAGTGCTATTTCTTTCACAATAAAGTACTAACAGTTTGCCTATATGCAATTTTAGAAAACAGGGCCCCCCTTCCAGATAGAAAAGGAAAATTTTTCACAAAAATATTTTTAGTCATTCATATACTTCAGAACTCATAACTGAATGCTAAATGACAATAAGAGAGATACTTATTAAATTTTAAGTGCACATGGCAACATCTTTTTGATTGAAAAGAATAAAACTGCAAAAGGCTAATTGTTTTCAGTGTAAGAGTTATTAACTAAAACAAAAAAAAAAGGCCAAAAACAAAATGAAAGAAGAAAAAAATATATATAAAACTCTTGAAATTCATAGCACTACATAAAAAGCACTTGAACCTTAAAAGCAAAAGTGGCCTAATTAATTCTACATCTTATTTCTCCTTCTCCACCTCCTGCAGTTGAAGATGTAGGGCCCTGCAACTATTATTGCTTTAAGATCACTTTGTTATTGACTATTCTCTGTATGATCATTTATTTTAAAGGACTGATGTCACATTTGGTGTTGTATCTGATGACATATTGTGGACATTTTCTTCCAGAAATGGCTCTTTAAGGCTGAGTGCAAGAGGTTAAGCTGCCTGACTGAGGCCAAACCTAAGATCACAGATTTTTAATCTAAATTCTTAATATCCTTCTTGAATGTAATTTAACATTTATTTTGGACATTATATATTATCACTGAACCATAAGCTGCTGCATGTTAAACTAATACCCTGAAAAAGGGAAATGAGAACTATTTCTCATCTTACTAAAAACTAACCGATTTTTATTTTATAAAATAAAAAACAATTTAATATGAGTGGGTACATTTCCCCCCTTAACCAACAAAACTTAATCAGCTTTCAAAAATTACAAAACCTATGTAGAAATCCTATGATCAAAGACAGTATACTATCAAAAGTCCAAAGGACTTTTTCAGTTTTTCCAATTTGCTCATGAGGCTTCTACCTCAACTGAATCACAGTGCTATGCATTACATCAAAAAAGGAAAAATTGCTAAGTTCTGATAACAAGATGATGCAGAACAGGAACATATGAAAATAATGTCTATTCTTTTTCCAGGAGCCATCTATCACAACCATGTACAAATCAAGGCTCAGAGAGTATCGAGGCACTTGGACATTTATTACTATTTCTCCCACTTCATAATCTCATGCTAAAATACCATGATTGAGGGAAAACCATACGCACACGACAAGACCTGGAAACCTATTTGGTTTGTAAATGCTGTCTTTCTGATATTCATGGATTTAAGACAGACGTCCTGGATTAATTCACTCAAAGCTGAGTATGTCACTTAAAAGGAGAAATATTTTATCCTCCTACTCTGAAACAAAGGGTCTATGTTAAGTAGGTTTTGCATGTGTAACATAGTAAATAAGTACACTTGAGACCATAATTTCACAGGACCCTACACTGACTATAAGAATTGAACTTCTGATTCTGGGGTGAAGAGCTGGGGGATATGGCACTGAGCATTTTACAGTACCTTGTAATAATGAAGGTATGCTCTTCATTACCAAGTACTGTACCTGCTGCTTGCTACTGGCAGGGAGTGGTTTGCACACTGACCATGTTCCACGGCTGTTTTTAGTGTCGCTTCAGGATGTGTCGATCCTAGAGGGTTACGCACAAATCGTCGCCGGCGCCGCAAGTCATCTTCCCAGTAGTCGAGGCGCCAGAACTCACGAGGACGACTACAATGAAACAGAGAAGCCACATATGTTAGCAATTATCAAACAGCGTGGTAGCACTGAATTTCTGCATAAAGCTCTCCTTGTTTGCCCTGCCTTTTCTTCCCTCCCATTCCTCTTAATTCTCCCTCCACCTCACACTCCCCTTTCTGCAATCTTTAACTTAGGTATGTCCTTGAAAATAACAATATCACCTTCCAGTCTAAGGAACTCCTTTTCCTTTTCCTTGGAAGGTGAAATGAGCACTAAATACATCATTCTGAAATGAATCGCTGACAGTGTGATCAGTTTCCCCACACTCCAGTGGCATGTGCTCTGATTTCAGCCTCATTTCAGCCTCAGCAGGGCACCTTTCTCTGTGGCTGCATTTATAAACCAGAATAGGGAAAAGGCTATTATAAATATGGTATAGCATTACCTATATTAATCAAAGTCTGTCCCCCTTCATTTTTCTTCCTAATTTGTGCCTTTTTGCACAAGGTCAGTAAATCATACCATGAATTCTTGGTCCAGAAAGTGTTAACTTTAATGAATATCTCAGTTACATGGTTATGTATGTGATAATAAAATATTACTCTGTTTAGATGTGCAGGAATTTAATTAAAATAATCTCTTAAAATATTCATTACATTTAGCCCCTGAGGCTTAGAACAACACAAGAAAATGCATTTCTTTTCCACTTACTGTTTTTAAATAAACCATTCCTATAGAGTGAAATAGCAATCTATTTTCAAGCAAATCAGATTGGATTTCTGTTTTATGTAGTTGGTTTTTATATTTAATTAAAAACTACATGGTATATGATGTGCAATAATTGCTATATCAAAAGCATACTTTTAGAAATGTATTTTTTAAAGGGTTCACTCAATTCAAGTTCCACTCTCTTTTCCCCAATTATGTAGATATTTTTACATGGCAATATATGAATGTCAACTTTCTTTTCTATTAACTAATCATGATCTAGCATGCTGGAAAATGTTTTCTAAGGAAAACACTAATATGAAGTTTTTTCAGTTACAGTTTAAAAAAAATCTCTGCAGAATATATTTACACTAGAGATATACAACATGAAAACCTGTAAGTTTCAATAATGAAATTAAAAAATTCATAATCAAAGCTTCTGCAAAAAAAAAATGACTAATGCAAAATAAAACCGCACTTGTATTTCATGAGCTAATAAAATTGTACCTGTCACCTTTGACAAATTAGTAGCCTTGACCAACTGACAGTCCCAAAATACCTACATAAAAGTTATCCATATTGTGATGGTTTAAAGAGGCTACCTTTAAAAGTTCAAAATAGATTTGTAAATAAGTACTTCACCAATTAAAAATTAGCTCAGATTAATGAAAGCATAGATTAAGAAACAGGGCATTATTTAAAGAAAATATTTTTAGGAATCCTATGCTCTTCATGAGAATGCTGGGGAGACAAGTAAACAGCAAAGATTTCCTTTGTCGATTTTGTTCATGCCTAAAGAGGAGTAAATATAAAGTAATCTAAGTGGAATACAAAAATGTGTAAGAACTGCAGCCCTCAAAGGGAAAAAAATTGAAAACCTCTTTCATTCTTCTGTTATTTTGCTGTCTACCTTTCAAATGAAAAGTATTATTATGATAGCATTTAAAGTTAAATAAGAAATACCTATAGAATACACATAAGCACAGAAAACAGCTGTTTGAATTCAATTAATAAAATAAAATTCTCCTTAGGATAGTGGGGGAAAGGCAGTACACAGATGGCTATGTGTATGGCTTTGATAGTCATGGAGCTTGGATAGGTACTTCATCATTCTGCCTACCTACATTTATCTGTTAAAATTATTATCAAATATCAGCCAGGATGCAGTCGTGAATCACAGGCTGCTCCTCGTCTTCAGGGGAATGATACAATGAGGGTCTATTCATCAGAGCAGCAATCGGCACAAGTAATTAGTTCCCTAGACTGAGATCTCCTACAAAGCCTATTTCAGTCAGCACCACAAACATATGACAGTGTAAAGCTAATGAAAGCTGCTAAAATTTGTTAACCTTTTCTGTCATCAATCCTTCTAATATTCTGTGCTTCAGTATTATGCAAAGGTGGTAAATTATTAATTTGTCATTCATCCATCCTTCCGAATTTTGAGTCAAATTAAATGATGTCATTCTTCTTGATAACAATTAAAATTATAAGACATGTTAAGCTGCTATTATAAAATTGTTACTAAATTAAGTAACAATAGATTCTAGTATAATATTGAGAGAGAAGTCAAATCCGATGGCTATGTGTGTGATCATTTTTGTCAAGCAGTAGAAAAACCAGAGGAATTATAAAATCCTTCACAAATTTTCAAGAAACTCAAAGAAAATATCTGTAACAATAATAACCACAATTAGGAGGAAACAGAACTATAATATCTATTTTTGTGCTCTTCGACAATAACAAATAATGGTCACGATGGTGACATTTGGCTGAAACAAAAGTATTGATGTATTAGAAATGTAGAAACTGTGCACATCATAGAAAAAATTTTAAGGTAAGTTTTATGTAAATAAAGCTAATTATGGACTTCTGGCTTCAAATGTAGACATTCTATCAATTTAAAAATACTTTAGATATATCCAAATAAAATGAAGTAGTAGACAAGTAGTCTACCCCGTTACAACAATTTAAAATAGTCTGAAGACAAAAGCGAAATCATTCATTTCAGATCAGAGATCCAGAATGGATTACAAAAATCAGTTAGAGAGACCAACAATTTCAATACATTTTTGAAAGTCTCTCCAGATAATGCAGAATAAAAACCTTCAAGGAATTTACTCAAAATGGAATCATTATTAGCCTCATTCAAAAAAATTAGCATTTACCATCCAATTTGATTAAGAGTAATATATGCTCTTTGAAAAAAACGTCATATTCATTTTTTCTTTCAGATAAGGATAATTACTAGCAGGTTTAAAGTCATCTACCTAGTAAGAAACTGAGACATAAAAATTCACTGTTTTGTCCCAACTCTGCTCCTTCCAACAACAGTCTCAGCATAAAGCTGTATCACTGAGAAAGAGTCACAATTTGTCAGTTTAGAACATGACTGGGAGGGGGAATGTGTAGGTTTCAATCTCAACTTAGTATCTTTTGATTATTCACATAAAGATTTCACTCTTGTTTAGGAAATACACTCCCTCTCCAAAATTTCCTTCTCGGGAGAAAAAGGATAAGAAACTGACAAATTTGGGAAACTGATCCAACACTTTTCTCATAAGTTTATGAACTAACTTGTTATATATTTTTGTAGTTATCACTATGGTATGGCTAGAAAAATTTAAAAGACTTCAAGTACTCAGAAACACACTGCTGACCAAATACAAGCATGGATAAGATGAGAAATCACTTACTGTAAGAACTTAGAAATATACATCTAGGTCATGATATACCTATACCTCTATATATCTGTATCTATCAAAACAAAATTACATTAGTACTACATGATATCACATTCAAAAACCTCATCTATACCCATTTCTACAAATAATTAAAACTAAGATCCTCAGAAAAGTACTCCAATTCAGGATGTAACCCTAGGCTCTATAAGATCTAGAAATAAAGCCTTCTCTATAAAAGGTCCGGTAGTTAGGTCCCCTGTTATTACACAAGCTCCAAGTACCTTTGACTAAAAGGAATATACTATATTTGAAAAGTTGTGGATGACGGTGAAAATAAATGTTCTAATGATTCTTTCTAATTACTTCTTCCCCTTTCTTTGGCTTAATCTCAAAGTCTAAGATTAAAATGACAACATAGGACTGTCTTTTTCAAAGTATAAGCATGCATGCATGCTCAGTTGCCTCAGTCGTGTCTGACTCTGGAAAAGTCACCTAATTACCTTTCTACTCTTGTAAAAACCTACACATACATGTATTTGTACAAACAGAACTTTAACATATTGCTATGAGCTACATAATATAACACAATGCCATTTTTATATACAGAATATGTACTTTCTATTCTACAAGAACAAAATCAGATAGACTGCTGAAATAAATCTTAGAAGGAAATACAACTCAAGCAGCAATAAATAGGCTATTTGTTCCCCTCCCAGGCCCACTGTGGACAGTGATTTGATCTACTAAAGAAAATGAATAAAGATGAGCCAGAAGAGAATCCCTTGGAAAAGGAAGAAATATTAAAACAGAGTAACTAAGGGATGATCCATAATCTTCCTCTAACAGTTGAATGGTTTACCTATAAATAATATATTATGTTCCACAAGTAAACTGCAAGACTCTCTAAAGTTTAGCTTTCCTCAGAGAAAGTATGGCAATCCAATCGGCCAATTAATAGTGCTGAATGGATGGATACTGAAGTAGACTCCTAAAACACTGTCTAATAACGACCAACTCAACCTTGAGCCAACAGCTAGGGATACAAAGACTATTAAGATATTTTGTCTCTGACCTTGAGAAAAGACAGATGAGAACACAGTAAGAATTCAAAAATTATGTGTGATAGAGCAGAGCTCTATTAAATGGCACAATTCAAAGGAGCACTATTCTCACCAAAATTTGTGCAGGCGGCACTCCTGGAGTTGTGCAACGCTCATTTTGTGCTGCTGTATTTAAGCACCCTATGAGAAATGATAGGGTGCTCTGAGAACACCTTATCTTCTCCCCGCTCCTTTCTTTGCTCAGGCTCCTTTTTTCTCTGCCCAAGTTAAACCTAATCTTCAGAACAGGGAACAGAATAAGCCTTTCCGATGCTATCAGTAGCAGTCACACATTTAGCATTTCCCTGATGCAGGAAAAGGTGATCAGACCACAAATAGGCATGACTGTCAAAAAAAGGGCAAAATTCAATATTCAGAATAAAATAATCAAGAACAAAACAGAAACACTGACATTTATTTCACTGAAGTCATTAAATTCATATTGTTCTATTAAGGTATATTATGTTCTACTATCATTCTATTACAGTAAAACAATTTTAATTACTGAAATGAGGGGTAGCTATTATAAAAATTATTC